GAAAGAGAGAGAGAGAGAGAGAGAGAGAGAGAGAGAGAGAAGGAAAGAGTTAAGTAGAAGATGACGTATATAAGGTGAAGAAGAGGGAAAGGAAGTCAGGGTCAGCAATTAGTTAGTTGCATTTCCTCTCGATAAGTTTGCAGCAAGTTGCGAGTCAAGTTGTGGGAGTAATTCAATAGAGTTCCGGTTCGATATTGTGTCGATGAAAAGGGCTGCATCCACGTAGCTAATGTCGAACCGACTGTTAACTTAAAATATTAAAGTCGATCCAACGTGTGCTTAATCAACGAATGGATTATTAATGGATCATGATTTTCATGTTACGTTGCTTTATGCTCGAATATGGTAAAGAACATTTTATGCAGTTTCACGATTGAATTTTATAAATAAATGTATATAATATCAATTATAATTAAAAAGTCCTTTTCATCCAATACTTAATTTATAATTTATACATTTTAAAGTTTTGATTTTATTAAATTTAATTAAATTTTATTAAAATACGTGATTTCATAGTATTATGGCTGAATGAATTATCGTGTTGATTTAGCTACATTATTATACACTCTGATGCCAAAAAAGTATTTATGCTTAAGTTTATTTTAAATAATAAAATAGTTTAATAAGATTGAACCTTTTGCAACAATTTAATATATCATTACGATCCAGTAAGAAATCTCAATCTTTTATCATTTTCTTAAAGTCAGCATTCTTTTCAAGCAACATGTCGTACATTAATAAATTTATTATTTTCATCAATTGGGTAAATTAAAAATAAAATGTCACAAGTACCATAGATGTAATTATATAAATTTATAGTAAATTAAAGTTTAAACAATCTCTGCGATAATAAATATTAATTGACTTAAGTGCTGTATGAATTTTATTACTAGCTTAATAGAATAATTTAGTGGCATTTGTCAGTAAATATATTATAATAATGTGATTTTCTTTTGGCTAAATAAGAAAATTAATATTTTCGTAATTATAATAAATAAAATAATGGTTGATTTAGATAAAATATTCTGTTTGTTTCATTTTTCAAGCGAATATTAATATTGAATGTCTAATATCTTTGAAGTTTAGAAAAAAGAATTTGGAACAAGAAAACTACATGTTATAATTACGATACGTAGATTGAAATGAATAAGAAAAAAAAAGAAAAAAAAAAAAGAAAGAAAGGGAAGGAAATGTATGTATATATAGGATTCGTTTGATTCACGAAAGCACCATTTTTCTCTCACATCCGGGTTTCGCTTCAATTGAAAACATTGTTCCTGTTCGAAGTACTCTGTAGCGCCTATCCTTTCCCTTCCTCCCGCCCCCTTACAGCGTCCATTAATTTTCCGAAGTCAGCCATGACGAGTCAGCGCCTCTTGATTTTTCCACTTTTTACTTTTTGCTTTCCTATTTTTTACACGAGCTCGCACGTCGGGCTGTATCAAAAGATTCAGCTCGTAACTGTAAAATCAGAAGACGCCTGTCTATAATGTGAAAACATAAGAGGACGAGAGAGTTGCAGAGAATTATGCACTTATAATCTACGGAAATTGATCAACTAACTGAATATACCATGTAATATTCTAATTGAGCATCGTATTTTTTTTAAAGATACTTTAGTTTTAATGGATGACTACGGAGGAAATCTTCACGTTTAATGAACTATTAGAATGCGATGGTCGAAGTAAGAAATTAATGAAGACACTTTTATTTTATATAGCGAGCTGGGATAATTTTATAAAAATCTAGTAATCGCTTTTAATATGAAATTAATAAATATATGGGATTTTGCTTTTAAATATGTATTTAATTTAAATTCTTACTTAAACATAAGTTGCCATAGGACTTCTTCTGCCAACACCAATAGAAAATTATAATAATTGTACAATAATTTTTGTAAGAGTAGTGAATTGAAAAGAATTTAAATTACCTAAAGAGCGATGGAAGTCGACATCATACTATTTAACAATTAAGTATTTTTTAATATATAGTCCAAAATTATAATATAATCATTATTTATAAATGTTTTATTAAAATATGATTTGTTGAGTGTATATGTATAACATTCATACAAAATTCTCTTCGAAAATGTACTCTTCGAATGTTGTGTAAAACGTTTCTAACGTGACTTGTATGTCATTTTTTTTTTCTTTCAGTCAAACATTAGACATACGGAACGGTGTTTATTTTCTCTTGGAGTCACATGCAGCACGAACATAGAGGAGCATTAAGTTACATAATAATACATTTATTTGTACGATAAGTATAAATTCGATTAATTACATTTTATAATGTAGTCTCATGATTTTATTAGTTCAACGAATATTTCAGAACATTTAATACGCACTATTTTTGCCTCAAGCGTCATTTACTTACATATGGAAAATTAAATTCCAATTAAAAAATTGTTTTCTAATTCGATTGTATATTTATCTACATAAATATACTATAATATTTATATAATTTAATTGTTAATTTAGTTGTATCGATTTTAGAGCGATGATTTATAATATAAAATTTTCTATTAAAAATGTGCTTTCAGTGCAATGACGTATAACTATTTAATCCCTTATGATCGGAAAGATGCACCCCGATTTAAATAAAAAGACTAAAAAAAAAGTTTTATTAACTAAAAAAAAACTTTAAATAACTTTAAAACTAAAAAAAAAAAAAAAGATTTAAATAAAAAAAAGAAATTTAAATAAAGTATTCACATTTCTTATTTATTTCATAAATTACATTTATACTTTTTAAAAATTTCATTTCATTTTGTTAATTATATATTAGATTTTGAAAAACTTATTTCATTTTGTGAATTGTATATTGAGTGCTTTCTTAAAGTATTTTTATCCCTTCATTAAAATTCGCGTAAAACTGCAGTAAATGAAAATTTTGAATCAATAGATTACATTTCAACCTGCTCAATATATATATATATATATATATATATATATATATATATATATATATATATATATACAATAAATTAATTTAAATATTTATTTTATTAAGACTAATTAGTCGAATACAATTAATCATAAAATTTTATTATCGACATTACAAAATCATAAAGTATT